AAATTAACCAGGTGAAGTGGCAGATGCCTTCTAGTCCTGGCTATCCAGGAGGCTGAAGTGGGAGGAATGCTTAAGCCCAGGAAGTTGAGGCTACAGTAAGCTATGACTGTACTATTGCACTCCAGTCAGGGTGACAGAGGTAGACCCTATCTTTAAATAAACAACAAGAAAAGAGAATTAGGAAATGTGAATGTTGATTGGAATATTTGATATTACCAAAAAAAAAAAAAAATATGCCAGGCACCGTGGCTCACACTATAATCCCAGCACTTCGGGAAGCCAAGGTGAGAGGATTGTTTGAGCCCACAGTTTTGAGACCAGCCTGGATAACTTGACGAGACCTCATCTCTACAATAAATAAAAACATTAGCCGGGCATGGTGGCACATACCTGTAGTTCTAGCTACTTGGAAGGCTGAGACAGAAGGATCATCTGAGCCCTGTAGGTTGAGGATGTGTTGGCTGTGAGCATGCCACTGCACTCCAGCCTGGGTGATAGATTGAGACTCTGACTCAAAAAAAAAAAAAAAATAGGAGTAATAATGGTATTGTGCTTATGTTTTAGTAGGAAAGACATCTTTTAAAGTGATTCAGTAGGTCTGGTGTGGGGGCTAAGGATTTGCTTTTTTTTTTTTTTTTGAGGCTGGAGTGAGTGCAGTGGCACAATCATGGTTCACTGCAGTCTCAAACTCCTGGGCTCAAGTGATCCTCCTATCTCAGCTTCCAGAGTAGCTAGGACTACAGGCATGCCACCATCAGTCTGCTAACTTTTAAAATTTTTTTGTAGAGATGAGGTCTCCCTATGTGCCCAGGCCGGACTTGAACTCCTGGGCTCAAGCACTCTTCCTGCCTCAGCCTCCCAAAGTTCCAGGATTATAGGTGTGAACCACTGTGTCCAGCCTGGGCCCACATTTTCAGCCCATTGCATAGGATTAGCCAGATTGTTTTTTCTGGTCAGTTATCTAGTTACCCTTTCAAAGAAAGAGCTAAGGTTATCAGTTGAGTTCTATTCCCCATGAGTCATAGCCCTCAGATGGCATTCCACGTAACAGAAGAGAATGAAGTAGTATTCCAAGACTGATGGAATAATTCAGTCTATGTTGATGTAAGAAGGCTTGAAAGAGAAAAACCTTTAACCCACCACTTTTTCTCTCTCAAAAGTAATAACCACCCACCCCCCTCCTAACCACCCCCTGACCCCCGAACCTACCCTTGCCCCTCCACTCTCATTCTGTCAGGATCGGAAGCCCAAGCACAGGATCCTGTAAAGCTTCCTAGAACTTAGGCTTCATCCTTCCATCATTTCCAAATTCAGACTGGTTTCATGGATATAATATGAGTCCTTCAGACCTGTAGTGTCTCAGAAGCATTTTAACAAATCTCAGAGCTAGTCTATTGTTAAAGAAGACTGGAGAGAGGCAGAAAGAGAAAGATGGAGAAGGGAGAGGAAGGGGGAGGGGAGAGGGAAGGGGAGGAGGAGGGGAGAGAGAGGAAATCTAGTGACTTGCTGCCAAATCTGGCTCTTCTGTTGACTATGTGACTCATAATGAGTCATGCAATTTAGCATTTTTACATCTAGTTTTTCAACGGTTTTCGTTCTTTTTTAAAAAATAAATCTCTTATTATGAGAGAAAATGGTATACTTGGAGATGTAGTCAAAATTTCTTGAAAAAAAGACATTAGCAACAGTACTGTACTATTAAACTTTAGAATATCACATTTATAGTTTAACAACAAAGTGCTTGTGTGTGTGAGTATGTGTGTGTGTCTGTGTGTATCGAGATCCTCACAACCTTGTGAGGCAGGTAAAGTAGGTATAATGCTGAACTGACAGAAGTAAAAGTCTGGCCAAATTAAGTGCTAGGACCAGAACTCAAACACTTGGCCTTCTCAGTGTTCTTTCTAATTTTCCTTTCCTCAATTTATGTCAATTAAATATAGAAATGTACCAGTGCATCAAATGACTGTCTCTAAAAAGATCAGAGAGTTGTATTAACCTAAAACCAAATGGCCAATGACCCAGTAAATTAGAAACAGGAGTTGCTTCCATCAACTAAACGCCAGGAAGGATCCTTGTAATATCATCTGACATTCTCAGCAATTTTGCTTCCACAACTTTACAGTCTTCTTCCAGGTCCTCCTATCTTGTTCAGCATAGGGTACTTTCTATGCCTCAGATGACAGCAGATGACAGTGGAAGTACCTCATACAATGCTGCTCAAAGACATTCTGAAATTCTTTCAGTCTCTAAGTCACAAGACCACAAACATCCTCTATGATCATCCTGCATTGCCATGGCAATGAGACATCTGGTGACTAATGCCTGCACAGCACTGATCTGGGGGAGCATTTCTGTTTTATTAAATCTATGTGTTCAGACCCCGAACCTTCTAGTTCCAATCTAATTTCTTGCAAGTTCTAAGCTTGGGATGAGGGGCTGCACTTATAAAATCCTTATTGATGAACAATTATAATACTATAAGAAAGGGATTGGCAGTAGTAGGAAACTGTCAGGGGAGAGAGTGGGATTGGCAGTTGAGAGAAACTGCTAATGGAGGGAGGGGCATACCTCATTAACAAGGGTACCTGCATCATCAGCATTTGTATACCTAACCCTGAATTGTACCCCACATCTTTATAATAAAAAAATTGAAGTTTAGAAGTTTAAAAAATAATAATAAAAAAATAAAATCCTTACTGAACAATAAGGGTGATAAAAATCAACCAAGCTTGTATTGAGTGGCTTTTAAGAGCCAGACACTGCATTAAGGGCCTTAGGCCTTAGAAAAGACCTCAAATATTAATCATGAATAATGATAATGTGGGCTGGGCTCGGTGGCTCAACCTGTAATCCCAGCACTTTGGGAGGCTGAGGCGAGCGGATTGCCTGAGCCCATGGGTTTGAGACCAGCCTGGGCAACTTGGCAAGACCTTGTTATTTTATTTATTTATTTTTTGGGGGTTGGAGTCTCACTCGGTCGCCCAGACTGGAGTGCAGTGGCCACTCCCGGCCACCGCAGCCTCGCCTGCTGGACTCCGGC